TTTTGTCCCCCCCCCCCCCCCCCCCCTTAAACCCCCTTCCACACACACACACAGAGGAGAAGGGGGAATTGTTCTTTTTCCTTACTGCAGCAATGTAACAGAGCACATTACTACTACAGAAGCAATAAGGCAGTCAAAAAAAACCTGCAGTGTCTTGTTTGTTCTGAACTCTGACATATCCTTTGATTCCTTGCTTGTTCTTGCCTAGGCCTTCTCCTTCTTCCCATCCCTATTGAACACACATTTCATACGTATTAGAAATATATGTATCTATGGAAAGTTTGCAGATTAACTAGCAATACAAGTTCCTAGTTCCATCATTGGTTCATTGCAGTTAGGGGTGTACATGGTACAGAGCACCAGAAAACCTCTCATTAATCCCGAATCAAAATATACATCATACATAGAGTAAGTCTCAAAATCAAAAGCTCAGCATCACTCAATTGATATCATTCACTTCTCCTAATCACAAAATTCATGGAAATTAAACAAATATAAAATCCTCGAGCTTTAATATTACTATGGAGACAAAGAAGAGTACAAATATATAACTTATTCCAATTTGATATTTACATTTCTACAACTTTATGTAATTCATTTTTCATAGAAATCAAATAATTATTCTTAATCTCATTTTCTGTGGTTTTCTAGAACACGAATATGCAAAGTTACCAAATTTCAACTCAAATGACATGGATCAAACCATAAAAACAAAAATAATTCAAGTTTAGTAATTCAATTCAGTTCATTACATACAAATACGAGCATTTAAAAATGTATATGAAAGTAGAATGAAAATTGCGAACCATTTGTTTCATGAGACGGAAGGCAGCGGACTTTCTGGCAACTCCGACGTAGCAAACGGGAGCTTCCGGCGCCGCCATAGCCAACGATCGGAGGTGAAAATTGTCTCTTTGCAACGCTCTCTTCCTCTCTACACGGTGGTAGATAACGAGTTTCAATTAGCAAAGAGGAAGAGAGGGTTGGTGAACAAAAGGAAAGAGCGAAAGGGTTTTAGAAAAAGCAGTTGAGACCCTAATATCAGTGAATGCATGAGAAAAACCACTACAGTTTAGTTGGGCCGAGTTTGGTTGTAGAGGCCCATGAAGTGGCCCAAATTTGAAACTGGATGCTGAAGTAGGCCCAAATTTGAAACTGGATGTCCAAAACTAGTAATCAAAATGTACAAAGAATACTTATTAAAAGGAAAAATTACTTGGATGAGTGCCTTTTAAAAAATAATTACTGAGCGATACTTTTTATTTATTACCATTTATAGCAATACTTAATAATACTATGTTAAATTTGCAATATGTGTAAAAAATGAATTGTGTATGCAATTTATATGTATTATAACTATTTTTAAAAATATATATTATGTTTGTTTGGTAAGAAATTGACACATTGTATTATAAATATATTAAAATGTGTGATAAATGTATTATCCATCAATACAACTTGTATTATATGTGAATAATAAATTGTTCTTTGTAATATATATTAAAACTGTATTATAAATGAATAAGTGAAAAAAAATGTTATTACTATAAATGATAAATATTTTTTAATATAGTATATTTATGTAAGTTTCCTTTTTATTTGTGTATCAAACATTAAAAAAATAAAATAAAACGGATTAACAAAATTGCACTTTAATTAACAAAAATCTGATATGGAATTTAACTAAAGGCAAAAGTGCTCATTACCCCCTCTGAACTTGAAGTTTCTTATTCAGTGTACACCTAAACTATATTCCGTTTTAATTACCCCCGAACTTTTATTCCTCCATCGTGTACACCTTTATTGGTCACCTGGTGTAGAAATTGACAACAAACTCTACTAGGCACGTGAGGAAGTAATTTTTTTCCACATCATAAAGCTACAACGATAAAAAAAAAAAAAAAAAAAAACTAAAATCTCTATTTTTTTTTTTAATATTTGACATATTTCTGAGAACTTTCTCTCTCTATTCTCTAACTATTTATTCTCCCTAATCCCTTCTCCGTTTTCAAATTTCAGATTTTTTCTCTATTTTTCGTTTTAGTTGCATTTGCTAAATTCATGAATTATAATAGGAGACTTGGTTGTTTATGTGGGACTCCTCCAATTCTGAATTATAATACACCCAAAAAAGATGACGATGCAATAAGCTAGAAACTGACTTTGATTCTCTTCAACCACCACCCACTTCTTTCAATATCTACCAAAATTTGTTCAAAATAATTTGTCTTCTAAAACATGAGAATTCTTTTGCATTTACAAAAATGTGAGCTTTTCACCAATTTTTTAACAGTTAAATGCTGAGAAAACAAATAATTATAATTATTCAATTTTTAGATTTAAAAAAATAATCTTATTTAACAACCTATTTTTTATGAGCTGATGTTGTTTCAAAATTTGTATTAATTAAATTCCTATATAATGTGTGCAATATCATACTCTAATTTGTGTTAAAGTTTAATTTACTTAGTTGAAGTTTTTAATTAAAAAAATAGTATATATACACAAAACAAATTTAAGAAGACGAAGAGACGTTGGCTGAGTCATGAGTGTTCTTCGAAAAGTGGGGAAATGGACCCATTTAAGTTGGGTCCAGCTGAAAATTCACGTCACCACTTTTGTCAACATGTCACGCGCGTGTAGTCATGATTGGAGTAGGTGGACAATAAAGATGTACGCGATGAAGGAATAAACAAATTCGGGGGTAATTAAAACGAAATATAATTTAGGTGTATACTGAATAAAAAACTTCAAGTTCAGGGAGATAATGAGCAATTTTGCCTTTAACTAAATAAGTAATCAATTTTCATTGACCCAACCAATTTTTTTATCAAATAAAATAAACCCCACCCAACCCAAACCAGATTTCACTTTATTTATTTCTCAAATAGTGTATGAAAAAACATCTATCTTATCTATACTTAAGGTACAAATTTATTATTTTAGGCTTAATACATATCAAATTCTTTAATTTTGTCAAATTCTAAAATATTTTATTTGTGTTTTTATGATCTATTATGTACTTAAGTTAATCACATAAAATATGTTTTTCTTTTAAATTTATATTCCTTAACAAGTCATAAAACTCTAGTCATCTTTAATGGGGTTGATATGTATAATTAAAGAAAATGACGTATTTTTTTGGAAATTTTAGAATAACCTGTCATCGCTACAATCACTATTTTCGGATGAGCCCTCACTGTGTAATAATCTGCAAACCACACAGAGAATTTAAACCATACTAGGCAAATTCTATGCGATAGGCTCGACTCAGAAGGCAGGGAGATTGATCCTGGATTTCCATGTGGATGACCACCCCCAAACGGAGTCATTTCGAAGGATGAAAATGACATATTTTACGTAGTTAACATAATTATACAATAAACAGATGAAAAACACATATATTTTTTTAAATTTTGAATAAAAAATGTCTAATTGCATAAGTTCAATTGAAACATAATTAGTTCGAGTATTTAAATGAAATATTCCGACGAATGCCACTTGTCCTCGAAAAGATCCAAAAGTACCTAACGCCCGTCCTATATACTAACATACAAATGGAATAATCCCCTTCAATTTACACAATTTTTTTGAGATTCTCCACCAAACTGAGCTCGATTCCTATGGCTATGGCGTCTTCACTATTTTTTTCAACTCCAATTCCAACTAAACTAATCTCAAAGCAAAAACCCTTTTCTTATCACTCTTCAAATCCTCTTTTGCCCCAATTAACACACAAACCCTTGAGGAGTTTGGTGGTTTCTTCTGCAGCTGCAATTGAAGCTGAAACACAAACATCTAGCTCGAATTCCTCTCCATTGAAGTCTCTTCCTTTTAGAGTCGGCCATGGATTTGACCTTCATCGATTGGAACCTGGGTATCCTTTGATTATTGGTGGGATTAATATTCCTCATGATAGAGGCTGTGAAGCTCACTCTGATGGTAATTTTGACTTAACTCATACTCATTTTTTCGCACAGGCTGTTCTTTTCACTAATTTTTCGAACAATTGTTTAATTATAAAAATGGATAGTTGGTGATTTTGTTTGGCTATATTCATATATGGAGGATTGAACAATGTTTATATGTTTGTTTATTATTCTCTGGCATTTTAATATGTTTATCTGCTTGACTTAGCACGGAATTTAGAAGACTTTTGTATCTTGTGGTGTTAAATTAAAGACATGTTAGTACATCATTTCGGTTGCATTTTATTCAATGCGACTGAAAGCACAGCAATGATTTTCGATGGAAAATACCATTTGCAGGATTTCAATTGAGATTGTGAACAGGACATTAGTTTATTCTCGAGTTCTTGAATGCGTGTATTGGAATGATGAATTTGTTTCTTCTCCTTTTTGACAAATAAATTAGAATTCTCGTGGAGAATAGGCGAATATACGAGATTATACACCTGCCTCTAGGAGGGAAGCTCAGGGGTTAGAGTGTGCCTGATTCATATGCAGTTTCCTTTGTGAAAGATGCTCAGTCAAGAAGGATGTGCCACCATGGAATGTGCTAAATGTTCTTTTAGTCTGTTGGTCGTAAACATGACACTCGAAAATTAGAATTAAAGAGTTAACCCAAAAAAAAAAGAAAAGGAAAGAGACATTCTTCTTGAAATGGACTAAAAAGGAAAGTAAGACAAACAAATTAAAACAATGACAGTACTATTTATTTATTTATTTTTTTTATTTTTTTTTGATAACCGAGAAATCCGTCTGTGACCCGCCCTTTGGACCAATCACAGCCTTCTAAACTCGGTGGATAATGACAGTACTATTTATTTAGGCACTTTTAGAAGTTATTTCTAATTATAATTGGTAGTATGATTTGTAGTAGTGTTTTGTGCAGTTTCCAAATATGTGAATTGTATTTTAAGAAGATTAATGGTCATGATCACCAATTTATTTGACTCTTTTATTGTTTAGATTAAGCATTACAGAAAATGCATTTGATTATAATTTGTAATGCAAACGTTTAAGTATTTTCATTCATAAAAAAGGCCAGGTTTATATGTTTTCTCTGTGGTTTCTGTATATGCCATCTTCTATCTTGACAAGATTAAGAAACTAGTGACGTCCGATTTTTTTGGCGATCTTATCATATGTGTTTCCTGTTTAAACTTACTTAAAATAGTTTTCAAACAATGTAAATTGTACAAAAAATAAGTGTCAGTTGTAGTAAGCAGTTTTCAAATAAGTGGATTTTATTTGAAGAAGCTTAAGAAATGTACAAATTCACAGCAAAACTTAGATGTATGACGCTCAAATTCTCCATTTTTTAGGGAAAAAAGGTACCACTCTATTATACGAAATATCTGAATTTTACCCTCTATTATACTATGAAGACATTCATACTCTTGTTGTTAATAAATCGTCTCATTTTTTCCCTTGAATCCAACAAACCTCCGACCTGAAGTATGACAATGAGTAATTAGAACTGTAGATTAGAGTGGTAAATTTGTACTTCTTTTGTCAAGTAATTTGACACCGACACGTGGAATCCACCCTATCCTCACTGGAGTTCCATTAAAGTCAACGGAAAATACGAGACAATTTCCTAATGGTAAGGGATAAATGGTATCATAGTACAAGAAATGGTAAAATTATGTTATAGTAGAAGAGTAAATTTGGACCTTTTCCCTTATTTTTGGGATAGAGGATATACTTACTTCATACCATATGTAAGCTCATAAAGACTCGTCTCTATTGTTTAAGAGATTAATTTTTTTTTTTTTTGTGTTTATTCTTTTAGGTGATGTTTTGCTTCATTGTGTTGTTGATGCAATTTTGGGAGCTCTGGGGCTTCCTGATATTGGGCAGATTTTCCCGGACACTGATCCTAAATGGAAGGGTGCGCCTTCTTCGGTGTTCATGGAAGAAGCTGTAAGTTGATGCTCTTCTTTATTTTACTTTTTGTTAATTGAGTTCAACACTGACTCTGAGCTTCTTGGTGGAAAATCATGGCCACTTGTCCTTACTGTTCAGATGTGTCCTTGCTTGTCTTTACGGTAAAATCATGAATACTTGTTCCTTGCTGGATGTTAATATTGATCCATGCATTATAACAGTTCTCTCGCTGAAATCTTCATGCCTTCTGCGTCATAACTCACAGTTGGTTGACAATATTAGATGTGGTCAAACTTGGTTTTCAGGTTAGTGAGGGACCAAACAAGCAAATAGGATTAGAAGAGTATTTTTTTCTTGTGTGAAGTTGAGTAGATTAAGGAACTGGGTTGAAGTTATGAGTGGTTTGGTAAGTTTACACTTTGCAACTCAATACTTGAATCAAACAGCTTTACCTAACTTTCTCAAGTCTCACCAATGGGACCTGAGAAAGTTCATTCTCTAATTTTTGCACCCATGTGAATTGAATGGAGCTAAATGAAATAGTTAGTATAAGCAAGAAAAAACAAGAGCACCGCAGGGAAAGGAAATGTGGATAGAGAGGAATCAGGGATAGGAATAGGTGATAACAATGGCAAATAAACAATCAAATTAGTAAATTTATTCATGAAAACCGTAATCTTCTTCATGACACTCCCTGTTCTGTGCTCTATTATGAACGATTATTGGCAGATCTAATGACATGTCTGTAAGCAGGACACACTTTCCTCACTTTATCCGCATATGCTGGAAAAACTTAGCTGCTGGAAAGTAAATAAGCCAGTCTCCTTTCCGTATAATTTTTGGTCTCCTTCTCTGTGTTTTTCCTTCCTTTATTCTTCTATTCTCTTTTTGTTTTGGTAAATACTATGATCAAGTGGTTGCTTTCTATTGGTCAAGTAAGGCTAACTAAGGCTTCTCTAGAATTAGAGTTCTTTAACATCTAACACTTATCTCAGCATGAACATACAAGTCTAACTCTAGTACAAGGACCCCCGATAAACACCAGACCTAATTTAAGTGTAAGAATAGCATCTAAGTCGTAATTTCAATAGTTGATAACTTGATATTGTCTATATGGATCCTTTGTGTCCATTGTGTTCTGATCTTAGCTTAATTGGCACTAAATCCATAAGATTGTAGGTATTTTTTAAGCAATTTCAATCGATGTGATTTTAGGTCTACCTCATTCCATTTAATCACCTTCAATCCTTAATTTATCACACGTACTGTCAGTGCATATGATGAATATGTAGGACATTGCAAAATCATCTCGGATTACCGTCTCTCATTTCATCCTAACCCCGTACTGCTTTGCTCCTGTTGTTGGATGTGGTCATTTGTAATTGAGTCCTATCTTGTATGACTACACATTCATCTTGAAATTACGTTTTTCTTGTGGAATATGTTGGGTATTAGAGGCCAATATTTTCTCTAATATAAGCATTACTGCTGTCATAAATGTTCTATAGAGTTTGCCTTTCACTATGTTCTGTATCTTCCAAGTGCATGGCACTTCCATAGCACTCCTCTATATATTTTTGATTTTATGTGTTATGGTTTCTTCTATGATACCTAACTGTTAAAAGATGGGCTAAATATCTGGATTTTCTACATTTCTGTATTCGCTATCCGCACGTTATCAGCCAAGTCCTACTCTGTTCTTACAATCTCAACATCTTGTCAAGGATGCAATTCCAGACCAGCACAACCTACTCATTTATTGTGTTGATTTGTCTTTGCTTTTGACTCTTTCAGAACTGGAGAAGAGAACGACTAAAGATTCTTGCCCTGATGCCTTCTTTTTTCCTGCTCTTTTCACCCTTTTCCTCCATTGATTTTGTAATTCATTTCTTTTCTCTGAGTGTGTAGTTAGTTGTTTTGGATAATTAATGGATAGTTTGAAGGAAGTTTACTTCATTCTCCTAATGATGGCTAAACTCACATGTTTGTTGCCTTATCAGTCACATCATATACAACTTTTTTTTCTTACGAAGTCAGTCACATCATATGCAACTTTTTTTCTTATGAAGTCAGTCACATCATATACAACTTTTTTTTAATGAAGTCAGTCACATCATATACAACTTACCTGCATACAAACCAGATAAGTAGATAATGAAATGTATGGAGACACAACTCAGCACAAGTTTTAAAGAATTCAACAACTCAGGGAAATAATATGCAGTGGGGGTTTGTGATTGGCCCTATCCTTGTGTTTGACCTACCTGCCTCCTTTGTCAACCACTGCTTTCTTACTTGATACATGGCATAACAGGTAGAATAGTGGATACCAGCATGATGTGTAGTTGAGCTTTATTTTATGCACTCTTACATCCTGGAGGGTTGTTAATTTTGTTGATTTACTTTAATATGTCATTCATTGACAAATGTTCTGGTTTTGCTTTTTGACGAGTGACAAGTTTTCTGGTTTCTATTGAGTGAAATATGAGGAAATCGCAAGTACTAACTGCATTGAGATGGTAATGCGACTTACAAGAAATAGCTTTCGTACTTTGTGTCTTATTCTGTGTAAGCTAGGTTCCATTTTCATTTGTTCGATTAACATAACTGTTGCCGATATGTTCAAATGAAGTTTCTTTCCATTCAAATTGAAGATTTGCAAGCCCCACACAGAGGCTATTTTTTATAGTAGTCTGGTTTGTCATCCGGATATATAAGAGGTGAAGTGGATTGTCTGCACCTAATTAGTAAGATAGTAATACTAACACTTTCAGTTTAGGGGAATCAATTAGCTTGTTTGGTAGAGATTACATGACAGTGATAGATGTTAGGTGAGATTGCTGAAAATGAACAAAATAGTTTTTCCTTGATAATGTTGCCTGAGACAACTAACAATTGTAGCTAGGCTTTTCGCCCATTGTCCCTTGGATCTCTGAATAGAAGATTATTGTACTGAACGTGGAACAATTACACCTAAACACTATAGGAGAATCAAAGTGAGAATTAATTAGATATGTGCTTATAATTCAAGAACTAGTTCAAGCCGAGAACAAATAATAGAATGACTAGATTTTTTTACTAAAAAGGCTCGAACAATCAAATCTTGACGTAGAAATTTGTCCAGGGTAAGTAACATGAGACCATAACCAAAGATTGAGATGAAATTGTTCTTCCGTACTTGCAAAGCATTTTAGAAGATTTTGAATAACCACTATTCTTCCTATTGCCTTCTTTAATATGTCAATAGGAGTGAACTATTTTCCTTTCATAGAAAATTTCATTTTTCATCATCAGTAACGGTAGTACTAAATTGCATTTAAATTAGTAGATGATCTAACTTGTCCACGCTTTATGGTTAATGTCCAGGTGCGTCTAATGCATGAAGCAGGTTATGAATTGGGAAACCTAGACGCCACTTTGATTTTACAAAGACCAAAAGTGAGCCCACACAAGGAGTCTATTAGAGCCAACTTGTGTAAGCTGCTTGGTGCTGATCCTTCTGTTGTAAACCTGAAAGCAAAGACTCATGAGAAAGTTGACAGTCTCGGTGAGAACAGGAGTATCGCGGCTCATACTGTTGTTCTTCTTATGAAGAAATAGTGAATAGAGTTTTGTCAATTTTGTTGTATAAAATTTGTGTACTGTAGCATTTACTAGCCATTTAGAGAGCACATCATGTTGATCTTCTTGGTCATACATATTTTCAGAACTTTATAGTCAAAAATTGGAATTTCATCACCTTATTAATTTCCTCCATTTTGTTTATATCTGATTATAGCAGCTGGTCTGGGAGAAAAAGATGAATACATACTACTATAATATTTCTGATGACCAAAATATGCAAGTTATTGTTGCTAGCTGCAACAACTACGACTTAATAAAATTAGTGGCCTTTCTTGTTCTTTCATATTCATTTGTGTAGTATTGTTACAAGACAGAGCATATAAGTTCACAATGAACGTTAGATAGTAACGTCTATTAAGTATAGTTTCACAAGTGGGATTTGGAGAGGATGGACGTATGTAGATTTTATCCCTATCTTTGGAGGGTATTGAGACTGTTTCTGATAGCTCGATTTTAAATTTCTAAGTAAGTTCCAGTTCTTGTAGAACATACAGTGATATTTCATCAGTTTCTTTGAAGGTTAAGTCAATTTGTTTGATCAACATAAGCATATGGGATAAAATTCCACACATTCTACATTAGTATAAGTTCTAGCATTTTCACAGTCAGAAATTTATGTTGAAGGAGATGACAACCTTAAATTTGTTCAACAAAATTGAAAGGCTACCATTCAATACTAGTATCTAGTTTCTTTTGTGGCATACTATATGGTCTTGTTCTTCTCTTTTACCTTTTGTTTAGACTTTTCCTCCTTATTCACATCAGCCCACACAAACAAAAACATTTAAAATGATGAATAGAGAGTTGAAAAAATATTCACACTAAGAATTTTGATTCTTGAATGGTTTTGCACTTGACCAAATTAGTTGATTTTCTCAGATTTTGAGTGCTGAATGATTCTGGAATTAGATATCAAATTCTTGAAATTAGAGTTTTTGTGGCATATGTTAAATTGACCAAACTAATTGTAATTATAAAAATCAGAACTAAAAAGTAGGGGTAACGTCTGCATACACTCTACCCTCCTTAGATTCTACTTTGTGGGATTATACTGGGTGTATTGTTGTAGAATTAAGAAAGTCTCCAGTATGACTTTGAGCCGAGAGTATTGGAAACAACCTCTTTACCCCCACAAAGGTAGGTTGTATATTTAACCCTCCCCATATCCCACTCGTGGAACAACAATGGGTATGTTGTAAGAAAGTCTCCAATATGTCTTTTGAACCGAGGCTATTTCTACCCCAAAAAGATAGAGATAAGATTTGTGTATATCCTAGGCCCCCAGACATGGACAACACTGGGTATGTTGTTGTAAGAAAGTCTCCGGTATGTCTTTTTAGCCTAGACTTTTTCTACCCCATAAAGACAGAGATAAGATTTGTGTATATCCTACACATCCAGACGTCGCTTGTGGGACTACATTGAATATGTTGGTGTCGTAAGAAAGTCTCTAATATGTCATTTGAGCCGAGGATATCACTAAGATTTGCGTACATACAACCTTTCATCGGATGTCATTTATGGACCACATAAGGTTTGTTGGTGTTGTAAGAAAGTCTCCATAAAAAGTCATGACTAGTTTAATTTCTGAATGATAATCATATTACTCCAATGTACTATTGAATTTTGACTTTTGAAAAAGAACTGAGAAAATTTCAAACTAGGATTAGGTAGTGATGTCTTGATTGAGGGCTAAATCAGATATTTACTCTTAATTAAGATTGGATCAACTTGGGCAACATATATTATTATTCCAAATCAATCAACAAAATTTTGTCCAAAAAAAAAAACGTTTTAACAAAGGACATATATAATGTTACTTTGATGTAAAACGAATTGCATATCTAGAGGAAAAACAAACAAATAAACAAATTAATGAAGTCGATTAACTATCACGTGTCTGAAACCTATTGTGTCGATTAATTTGAATTCATGTCATAAGTAACCCAATATCGAGAGTTCTAGCACTTCCTGTCAAATAGGACTACACTTCAAAGCTGAACTCGAAAACTCTAGTTAATGATAAATACTTTTTACTATTTTACCCTTGGTGGTGGTAATGACACATTCTCAACATATATTATGACTAAGTTAAATTTTGGATGAATTAGGCCACGATTTATACGTGGTCAAGTAAATTTGTATTTTCTTTTTTGACGTCTAGTAAATTTATACTAATCCGTCTAAATTTGACTCAATTCATTCATTTGACACCCTTATTATTATTATAATTGAGAATTAGAAATACTAGTATTCAAGCAAAGTTAATTTTAGTGTGACTGCAGGGACACACCAAAAAAGTCTTAGATTTGGATATTGACTTGTAATTATTTATTTTTTCCCTGCCAATTTAATTTGTACACAAAAAAGCCATCCACATGGTTGACTCATTCTTCATTTCATTTATTTTTTCCAAGTTGTTTTATTTTCTTTCTCAAAATCGTATTGTCTTGTGAAAAATTATGAGAATTTTAACACTTTATGACTTCGAAAAGGTTATTGGTGAGTTTTTTTTTTGGTTTTTCACTTGTGTTCAGATCCATATCAGAGTCTAATTAAATTTGAATTCGCATCGGAAAGCTAACAAAGGCAATCCGTACTCAGGGACTTAAATCCGAGACCTCTGGTTATGAATGAAAGAGTACTTACCACTACTGATTGATGAATTGTGCACGCTATAAACATTAAGTTTGAGTAATTGTTGACTCTATTATTTGAATTTATTTTTGCTTATGAATCATATGCTTATATTTTCCCTTTATTTGCGTATGGTGCAAATGTTCCTCTTGCTTTATTTATTTTTGAAAAAAGATAATTAAACACACCTAGTAGAATTAGGTCAATAATCACTTCTCCATGTTTTCTTTTTTGTCTCCCTTAAAGTATGACTTTTGTTGACTTTATAAAAATAGCATAAATGGTATGGTTAATTAAGTAGGCATTTAGGTGTCGTATCAAATTTTGTGACTTGAGTTGAAGATTTATCGGCAATAATCTCTCCATTTACAATTCACACGATAGAGATAATCAAGGTCGTATACACACTATTCTTTTTAAATATCACTTATAGAATTACACCAAGTATGTTATTGTTGTTGTATTCAGTCAATGATGTAGCCACATATAACCTAGGATGATAATCAAACACCTTTCATCGAAAAATCATACTATGTATATAGAAAATTGTTTGAAATATATCGATCAAAAATTATTTTTCATACATATGTATTAAATCATAAACACCCTTAACAAAATTTATGATTTCGCTACTGTATTTACTATATCAATTCAAGTTTAAGAGGATTTTTATGCTATTTAAGTGCTAATGAAACTATTGGTCAAACATAATTTTTGGTAAGATCAGAGCTTGACTTTACAATAAATCGACATGCAAAAATACGTTTAAACAAATACATTCAAGGAGTATCGTGAACTCACTAGTGATGCATATCACTATGGACTTAATCTATACCTACATTGATCGATAACATATTTTTTTACCTCATCAAAATTAATTTAATCGGTTATAATATAATGCTTTTCGATTTTGTAGGTTATCATATTAGGTTTATTATAAATAAATATATATAAAAAAGTTCATATTATTATTAGTAATTTAACCTTACGATGTAAAAAATAATACATCGATAATACACCGACCTTAAACTCTATCATTATTACTACTCCTTATGTCTTGCATATGAAACTTGAGATTTGAGAACTTGATTTTACCTTTCTAAGATCTTGAATATATATATATATTATTTTTATTTTTATTTTTAAAAAAAGACAATTACTAGAAATACTTATAATAATTATACCTCGATCTCAAACAAGTTGAGATCAATTATAAAAATAGCTAGATTATTTTAATGTGTTTAAAAACAGTGCAGCATAACATGCTCTGAATAGGCCAAATTTCAAACATGGACATAAATTAAATTTAAAAATTGCCTAATATATAATTGAATGATATTGAGTGGAAAAAAATGCTTAAAATGTGTGGACGGAGAAAAAGCAACTATTTTTTGGTACTGCATTTGCTTGGTGAAATTATAGTAAAAAAGTAATTCTATACCAAAAAACAGAACTACTTTAGTCTTTGTACTTTTTTAATTCCCAAAAACCAAAACATTTTTCACAAGAGAAACATGAAAGTTTATGGTTGACGACACAACATTCATAGTTTTAGATTTATTAATGGAAAAAAGATGAACTATTTCTTCATCATCATCATCATCATATATGTATATATATATATATATATATAAGCAGAGGCGTATCCAGGATTTCGGAAGAATGGGTGCATTATTATATCTAAGATATAAATTTGATCGGTTTGACCTTTATGTTCTTAACACTGAATCGTTAACTTTTAAAAATTATACGTCCAATGTATGTAATACTACAAGTTTTAAATTTTAATATACACATTTGATTTAATTATATAAAAATTATACCGTGCTAAATAATTTTTTTAGGAATTTTCAATGTTACACACTTGAAAATTTTGAAAGATTAAAGTTAAAAAAACAAAAGAAAAATTGATTGAAACGTCAAAAGTGTTATCAATAACTACTTGGAGTGGTGTTACGTACAAAATAAGATAAATATAAGATTTAAATTTCTATCTTTGCTTAGAGAGGTGTACCCAATCATCATTGTATTATTATATGCTATTTTTAACGTGGGTTCACAACTCTATATTTAAATATTTTTTTAAAAATATAATACTATGATCTAGAGAGGGGAGCACAGGTTCACGTGAACTCACGGAACCCCTCTAGATACGCCTCTGTATATAAGTACTCTTCGTTATATTTTTAGGTTATTTATACACTCATCATAGAATAAATAGTCTTATATTTGCCCTTGGACCAACATAACACCGACCTAAAAGATAATATAGCATAGTTTTTGACATTTTTTTCGAAAGTATTTTGATATGTCATCCAATTTATGGTACATATGGAGCTCTTATATGTTATTGAAAAATACGAAACAATTTACTAATGATAAAGATATGAATGTTCGCATAGCTTTTAGATAGGGTATAGTCGGTAGAATTGAGGAGGTTCATCCAATGGCGGATTTAGGATTTAGAGTCCGTGGGTGTCAAATAGACTTATTCATTAAAAATT